ACCATTGGCCCCGCCCACATGACACCACCAACGGCCCCCCGCCCACATGACACCAACGGCCCTGCCCACATGAAAACACCGACCCCTTGCCCACATGACACCATTGGCCCCGCCCACATGACACCACCAACGGCCCCGCCCACATGACACCACCATTGGCTCCGCCCACCTGACACCATTGGCCCCGCCCACATGACAAGCATGAAACAGGACATATGTGACAGCACACAGAGCTCAGGACTACTGATACTTTAATTTCTTTAGTTTCTAACAGAAAACAGTCATTAAAGACTAAAATGTTCTTTATTAAGTCATTAAAGACTTAAAATGTTCGTTATTAAAGGGACATTTTTAAAGTTAAACATGATTTTGTGCCTGTTTCAGCTGTAAATCAAGTCATGTTTGTTAATCTGGGAGCAGTTTTCTGATGAGCCACAGGTGAGACGGCACACCTGCTTCCTGTTTCTGACTCAAACTTCAGAGCTTTACTCCAATCTGTCAGGTTTGTGTTCCAGCTGAAATAATCTGTAGATTCATGCTCACACTTCAGGATTATAATCTAAGCTGGACTCTTCTGTGACTGAAGGGTTTTAAATAAATTCTTTAGATTATAACAAAAAGGCTGAATTGTTTTATCCTCAGACTCAAAGTTCAAACTTTTAAATGTTTTCTAATCCATGTGCAGCTGAAACATTTCAACACAAACAGTCAAATAATCTGAGTTTGAAGCGTCTGCAGGCGAGACGGAGACAAAAACACAACTTTGAAGTCGACGTTGGAGCTTAAAACATTTATTATTTTAAACGTTTTCACCAGAAATGAGCAGAGATGAAGCGTTTGTTTGAGCAGGTAAAACTCTGCACCTGATGTGAGGATGGATTCAATGGAGTGCCATAAAAATCTAATTCTGCAGTTTTTTAATAATTACTGGACAACTTTCTGTTTTTATGTCGTTTTTCTACCGTCTGATGACTTCAGTTTGAGCTGAACTCATCTGCAGAGTCGAGTCGACTCGTTGATCCATTCGTTTGGACGAGTCTTTTTAAACGTTCAGCTGTGTTTGAATCATGTTCATATCAAAGCTAGAATTTCACAAGTTTCAACCAGATTGAGTTCAAAGTAAAGATATTTCTGTGCAGTTAGGGTGGAAGTGGATTTATCAGATTAAATTAACTCTGAAACAGTTAAACTGGACTTCAGTGGAAATAACTTTTCAAAATGAAGTCAGTTTGAATCCTCCAAATATCTGATGTTTTCTTCTCTAAGCATCAGCAGAGGAAACAATGTTTTATCCTTTCATTCAGGCAGTGTTGCCAGTTCTAATTTAAAATATATTCTTTTTTATTTATTATGGCACTCCTGACAGTCCATATGTAAGTGCTACGTTGGTTTTTTTTTCTTGTAAAAACTCAAAGTACTTTAGCAGAGGTGACACGWTGCAGAAAAGGTCAGGCTGCTGTGATGATTGTCTGTTTTCAGCTCCGTGTACAGAAACACTGAGTGGAGAACTGAAGGGGATCAGCAGACCTGTGGTGGATCAGAACCAACCTGTGGTGGATCAGAACCAACCTGTGGTGGATCAGAACCAACCTGTGGTGGATCAGAACCAACCTGTCACCTGGACATTTATAAAACTGCAGCCTGTGAGGGTCAGAGCGCACCTACAGGGACAGCACTAAATGTTGGTGTCCAGGTGAACGTAGCAGGAAGTGTTTTTAAAAAGCTTTTTATATTTCTGCATAAATGTAACTATTTAAAAACACTAAATTAGATCCATTCATTTGAAAAACAGTCAAATAAAACCTTTGTTTTTAAACTGCTCTTGTCTGGAGCAACAGAAAAAGAATGATTTCTGATCAGGAGGAACTAAAGTTGGATCTTTAAGCTGAACTCAAAGATCTTCTCTTGAGGGTCTATGGAGGTAAATTTGTGTTTTTATMATTCAATCAAACAAAAAGCATCTTCAATCAAAAAATAATTTCAATAAAATTTTTTTTGATTGAAATTATTATTTTTGATTGAAGATGCTTTTTGTTTGATTGAATCATAAAAACACAAATTTACCTCCATAGAGTTGCTAACTCAGCCCCTGCAAAATACGGGACAGTTCCTTTGCATGTGGGGCTTAATGATATAATGCATCAATTATGAATTCATTGCAAAACGTTTCTTAGTTCTGTTGAGTTACATCCACCTAAACACGATTTAATCTTGTTTCTGTTATTTCCATGTAACATGCTGGATTAAAAAGGATTTAATCAACTGTTTTTATTTTTCCTTTAAACTTTTCAGCTGTTGATGGCCTCAGTAAACAGATGGATAAAGAAAGGTAGCTAAATATAAATATATATGTTGTTGAGATTATCAAACTTTTCTAAGCATGTATCATTTCAGAAAATAACTATTCAAGAACAAATTTATAAGGACTATACTACATCTACATAAACACTATGTGTTTTTTATGCATGTTTTATATTTCTTATTCCATCCATGTTTTCAGATAGGCCAAATGTTTAAATAGTTTGATAATATACACTATATTGCCAAAAGTATTTGCTCACCCATCCAAATGACTGTGCTCCAGTGCAGGGGTGTCACTAGGTTTTAAGGACAAGGGGGGCTTAGCCCCCAGGAGACGCACAGAATTTTTGTATATTATATATTTGTATTGTGTGTGTGTGTGTTTGTAGATATACAGTGTATGTATAT